AGCAACAGCTCGGGGCACAGCTGTTGCTCTTCCCCAGCATGGACAAGTCGGGGGCTGTTGTCTGTGAATTCTTTTTGAAAGCTGCCTGTGGCAAAGGGGGCGTGTGCCCATTTCGCCACATCAGTGGCGAGAAGACAGTTGTGTGCAAACACTGGCTGCGAGAGCTGTGCAAGAAAGGGGACCAGTGCGAGTTCTTACACGAGTATGACATGACCAAGATGCCTGAGTGCTACTTCTACTCCAAGTTCGGGGAGTGTAGCAACAAGGAGTGCCCCTTCCTGCACATCGACCCTGAGTCCAAGATCAAAGACTGCCTTTGGTACGACCGCGGCTTCTGCAAGCATGGTCTCCTGTGCAGGCACCGGCACACGCAGAGAGTCATCTGTGTGAATTACTTCGTGGGATTGTGCCCGGGGGGACCCTCGTGTAAATTCATGCACCGGCGATTTGAACTGCCCATGGGAACCAATGAGCAGCCCCCACTGCCACAGCAGACGCAGCCTCCAACAAAGCAGAGAATCCCACAGGTCATCGGGGTCATGCAGAGTCAAAACAGCAGTGCAGGCAACCGGGGACCCCGACCACTGGAGCAGGTTACCTGTTATAAGGGAGCCCCAGACGTTGGCTCAGAGTGTGGTGAAAAAGGACACTACACCAACAAATGCACCAAAGGGCACTTGGCCTTTCTCAGTGGACAGTGACAGCAGCTGGAGCCAGCTCAGAGCAGTCGGAGGGACCCCGGTGTTGGGTGTGTGCATTTAACTGTCCAACGCAGTGCTTGCTGGTGAACTCTGGCTCCAGCTAGCCGGCAGGCACATGGGGTTCATCATTCTGAAGGGCCATGTCTGTTAGTTTCCTATTGTTTGGCTGTCATCTTTTTTGAAAAAAGGACATGGGCTAAAGTTGGGTCTCTCCAATGACATCATGTTTGTCTAGGCATCCATGCCTCCTTTCTGGGACTTCCTACACACCTGCTCTGGGAAGGGGAGGAAGTATCTGGGGAAGGGATGTGCTGGGCAGCTCTGTGTAGACATGGCTTTTCCCATTGGAGTCTCATTAAACACTAGTTCTTGGTGACTCCAAGGGGCTGGTGGGTCATTCAAAGTTGTGGCCAGATCATGCCTGTGGTCTCCTTGTCCTGCCAAATCCTGAAGCTGTGCCTATCAATGTGATTTGAATGAGGGGCCCTTCATGGCAGACTCCTGTGCCCTTTTTCCTCAGCCTGGTGGTCCCAGGTGGCAGCAGTTGAAGGGGTGTGAAGCTCTCAGGGTTTGAGGTTCTCTTTTTCCTCTGGGCCATTTTCTCTTGGGGCACCTGACATCTTGTGAAGGAGTCAATGTCCCTTAGGGGGCTGGTAAGCAGCACCACTATGAGTACTAGCAGTTAGTTAGAGAGGGGTGGAAACTTGGGGGTTGAGGCTTAGGTGACTGATAAACAGGAGGAGGATCAGAGAGAGAACTTGGAGCAGGAGACAGTTTTGAAGCATTGCTGAGAAATCCGAATTTATAAGGATATCTTCCTCAGAATTTGAGTTCCTTGAGGTACGTATTGCCATGGCTCTTGCCTCTACCTGGCCCTGAGTAGGGACTTTAAGAGCAGGTCATCCAAAAATCAAACTTAACCTTATTCTTAGATTTGCAACATATAGGTGGTAAGACAGATGAACTCCTATATCTAGATTTGGGTACAAAGCTGTGAAGGCTTCAACATATGGAACCTCATTTCATTTTTTTTGTCTTTTGCCAAAGAGGTTTACTTGGAGGATGGTATCATAGCTTAAGCTCCCATTACTTCTCCAGATTATTCCTTCCTCTAGCTTGTATTGTGACCAGGCCATATTGCAGAGGAAAATTATGTCTTTTTTTTAAAGGAAGTTAAGGACAGAGTATTCCAATGTTTTCATATACAACCTAGTGACATAATTAAGAAAACTGATGAACCAACTTTCATATCTAGGCAAGAAAAGAAGAACAAAGGCAGTTATATTATAGTCCAAGCTGCACAAGGGCACAATTGGTCCTTTTATTTTTAAATAAAGAGAAAGAAAGAAAGTGGGCTCATCCTCTAGTGCTCACTGCACCAAGGAACAAGAGTAGTCTGGGTTGTACCCATCGTCAGCTTCTTGTCCACCTTGTGGCCAGACATCCTCAGCGTCACTTTTAGCCTTAGCATCCTGGCACTTAAGGTTCAAACTTGCTTGGGTTTCAGACACGAGAGGACCATAGGAGAATTCCCATGGTTAATGGAGGTGGGTGCATGCTGCCCACGCATTTTCAGCAGGCCTGCCCCTGTTGCAAGGCCATGACTGAGTACACACCAAGGTCATATTAAACCTTGCCCACCAGTGATTACTCTACTGACACAAACTTGATTTCTCAGATATTTTAATCAACTCATTAGGAAAAAACCAGCAAGATGAAACAGGTTAGGGACCTGATCTGGAAGAGGGTTGGGAGGGCTATCTGAGCCAGAGCTGGTTGGGTTGAGTTCATGGACAGCCTTGCACACTGGGATGAAGTGGTTACTAGAATGCAGGATGAAGATATCTTGAACTTCAGAGTTAAATATCATGCCCAAATCATTTGGGAGGACACACAGGAGAGACATTGTAGAATGCATAAAAGATGATGATGTTTAAAGAAAGGGTGAAGCCTGAAGGAGGGATCCTCAGATGAATCTCATCATCCAATCCATGGCAGATACAGCAGTTTGGCCCTTCAGGGCAGCAGTAATCAGTGAGAGAGATGAAGTCTAATAGCTGTTTGGGGTTGGGGGAGACCATTAAAATTGCCCAGATGAAATAGTGGCCTTTATTTTAAAGACACGAATATGTTTACAAGCCTACAGAAATTGATTAGAGAGAACATGACGTCAAAAATTGTGGACCTCAATCGTGAGAAGACAAGTACCTAGGGTTAGTTGGAGAGAAGGATTCTTAGCAAGAGAGGAGAGAGAGAGAGAGAGAGAGAGCATCAGGTGAGAAGAGTGATGAGCTTGTCAGGCTCATGTTCCTGAAGACAATGGTGAAGAAAGCAGTGTAAAGGCCTTCCTTGTTTGATCCACATGACTGGGATATAGATATGTGAGGCTCTCAGGACCACACTTAAGAGGTTTTTGGGCATGGGTGGACACACAGAGACAGCAATGGCCAGGGCGACAGAGCATGAGGGATAGAGATGATGACAAATTGCGAGAAAGTCAGATGGGAGAGTTGACAGAGGGTTAGACATGATCACACCATATAGGTTCAGAGGAAAGTCTTCCATTATCCTGAGGCTTTTGCAACTGCACAGTGCGGGGGCAAGCCCTTGCCACTCTCACAATTCTTTTGTCAAGGAGAACTTCAAGACTCCAGTTCTACCTGCTTGGTCTATGGTCCAGAAACCCTACCCCCTCCACAAGCCACCTGCCAAGGTGAGCCAAAACAGTCTCAGCCAGAGGGATCAGGGAGTCTGAAGCTGAGAATTTAGTTGTAAGTGCCTCCGAAAGTTTGTGTGGAGTCCCAGAGACAGACATAAAGCTAGAAGAACCTCTTTGTGAGCCAGTTGCAGCAAAGATAATTGTCACATTTCCCCCACTCCAGCCCCTTTCTTACAGAAAAGGAAGTGTGAGACCAGTAGCAGTTGAACAAGAGTGAGCAAGTGGGGAGAAAATTGACAGCAAAATGATCAAACCTTGCAAGTGAGTACCCAAACTTACCAGTGGCTGGAGACATCTCACTTGTCGATATACCAGATGAGGCTCCAAAATCTACTACAGGGAGAAGGAGTACACCTCCCAGTGTAGGATGACGAGTTGATGTCAGTGATTCCGTTTTGTGTTCAAATTTGGAAAGTATTCTCAAACAGACACACAAAGTAGCAAAACAAGCAAGTAGCTTTATTAAGTAAAGCATAGTACATTCTCAAGAAGGGAGAGTGGGCAGAAACAACTTACAGATGCACATACTCCACGGAGTTTCTATGCCCTTTCCTGCCTTGTTGCTGGGCTCCAGACCACAAGTCTCCTGGATAGACAAACTATAGTGCTGCAGGTGCCTCTGATAAGAATCTAGCAGTTATGTAGGTGTGAAGTTTCCTATAACTAGCTCGTCTTTCTTGCAAGTGTGGTTTTGTACCAGCTACCATCTTAAAGTTTTCCTAGTCTCAACTACCTATTGTATTGTAAGGTTATTCTTTCACCTGAGGGGTTTAGGTGTTGAGGTGACTCTTGTCCTGAA